ATGCTATTGGATTGATCTTGGAATCAGGTCTGAGTTACACCACTTACCAACTGTATGAGCCTAGGAAAGCCATTCCCCGTCTATGAGTCTCAGTTTTCACCTCTACCAAATGGGAATAACATAACAATACTCGGCCTGCCTACCCCTTGAAGGCTATTGTGAGCAGAATGCTTTGTAGTGGGGTATAAATGGGCGTGAAGATAAGGATGAGGATGAGGATTATGACCTCTGCCACTTGGAAGCTCTGCCCCTCCAGAGCCCCAACTCTCTTACAAATGATCAAGCTGACGGTAGCCAAGGAAGAGGGGAGCTGACAGATCTGTGTGGGCAGCCCAGCTGGAAGCACCTCTGTGGGGGAACTCGCTGCTTCATTCACGTCTCTGGAGCTCACAGGAAGAAGCAGTGGTGGCCCTGGCAAGCTGAAGGAGTTAGGTAAGTACAAGCTCTATTTGTGAAATCCCCAGACAGGGGCTGACTGGGTGCTGAGTCCCACCAGGGTGGAGGCCAACAAGCACTCCCAGGGAGCCACTTCACGGCACCAAGACAGTGGCCTCACTCCCACAAATGCTCCTGGATGAAACCTGAGTTTCCACTGCCTTGGGGTTCCTGGAGCCTGCTGCAGAAGGGGTCTTCCAGAACATTTTCCTAAGTGAGGTAGTACAGTCAAAAGGAAAGACTTAAACATAGAGTCTGAAGACCTGGGTTCAAGTCTCCCACTAAACTGGCTATATGGAGTTAGGTAGGGGCAGCTAGGGGGCGCCATAGTATACAGAGCTCCAGGCCTACAGGCAGGAAGACTCATCTTCCAGAGTTCAACTCTGGCCTCAGTGTGTGACCGTGGGCAAGTCACTTAACTCTGCCTCAGTTTCCTCACCTATAAAATGAGCTGGAGAAAGAAATGGCAAACCTCTCCAATATCTTTGCTAAGAAAACCCCAAATGGGGTCATGCAGAGTCAGACATGACTGAAATGACTAAACAAAAACCTCTATCAGCTTCTTTACCTGTAAAGTGGAGATAATACTTGTACTACCCATCTCAAGTTGAAATGAGAAGACGCGTCATAGAATGTTAGAGTGGCACTGGACATAAGACAGTATCTACTCTAGCCCTCTTATTTTTTCAGATGGGTAAACTGAGGACCCAAGATGTAAGGTAGCTTTGTTCAAGGCCACAGAGATAGTAAGCCAGTGTGGGGTGCGGTGGCATGGCGTATTATAGTATAGTAGGGAGAGGACTGAACATAGAGTGAAGAAAGGGAAAGGAGGGGAAAGGGAATAAGAATTTATTAAGCACCTACTACGTCCCGGCACTGGGCTAAGCACTTCACAGATATTATCTCATTTGAGCTTCACAACTCTGGGAGGTAGGTGCTATTATTATACCCACTTTACAGCTGAGAAAACTGAGGTAGATCGCGGTTAAGTGAATTGTTCCAGATAATACAGCTAGGAAGCCTCTGAGGTTAGGTCTGAACTCAGGTCTTCTTAATTCTAAGCCAGCAGCTGCCTCTACCAAAACTAGAGTTCAGATCCAGTCACTGAGGCTTGTAAGATATAGGAACATGAACCTCTTAGCTTCAATTACCCCATCTATAAAATGGGAATGATAGACCTAGAACCTTCCTTACAGTTTATTATGTGGCCCCAATGAGACAACAGAAGTAAAGTGCTTTGCATACCTTAAAGTGCTATATAAATGTCATCTATAATTATTGGTCAGAATTTGAACCCAGGCCCTCTGACTCCAAGTTCAGCATTGTTTTGTTTTGGTTTTTTTATTACACTTAGCCAGAGATGTCAATTACCCAGTGCACTCCTGATTCTGGTTGAACCAGATTAAAATATAATTGGAAAACATTTAACAGGACAAATAAAAATGCCATAGAATATAGGTAATGTTACCACGTGGTTTTCTATGTCTGCAACCCACATGGATCCTTATGTGTGGTTCAGTGGCTCCCATTTCTATTTCAGTGGGACATCCCTGCTCTGGGCAGCCTCTGTGTAAAGAGCTTTGTAGCATTAATCACATAATAATTGTGATACGTTTTAGCATGATCACATTGGGAGTGAGCATGGGCCAAGCTTAAAGAGCTGGCCTCAGAGTCACAAAGACCCGGGTTTGAGTCCCACCTTCGACATATCCTAGCTATGTGAGGCAAGTCCTGGCATTGTCTCAGTGCCCTCTGGCAAGACTCCAAGACTTTATACTTCAGAACAGTTTGTTGAACTGAGTCAGGAGGGAGATTCCTCGCCAGGCATTCTCCATACAGATGAAATCACCAGTCTGGACCAATAATGATGATGATGATTATTCCTCCATTTCATCATTCCCAAGTTGGCAGTACGTGAAGGAGGAAGGGTTTGCATCTTTCCCCTACAGGAAACGTCTGTATTGTGGCCCCACTTATGTGGCTCTATCTGTTCTCCTTCCACCTGGGGAAGGGCTACGGGCTGGAGCCCAGCCTGGGGCAGAGCCCTATGAGCCAAGCCAAGTCCAAGATCGGGGCTCAGGGCTTACCCCCTGACAGCAGCTAACAGGGACCAGGAGGCCAACTGGAGATGAAGCAAATGGTCTTTGCCAGGGCCCAGCCAGGGGTCATAGGGCTCTGATTGTGCAGCTGAGGGCCAGGATCCACATTGGGCAACAGAAACTGAAGGCAGACATCAAAACTGAGCAGAAATCAGCAAAGCTTACCTCCCTCCCTCCTTCCCCCCCCGAAGGTGTTAAGCTTGCCTGGGAGAGAGACAGGAGGGGAGCACACCCAGGGGTTATACCTGGCTCCAAGGGCCAGGAGCCATACTGGGCCATCGGATAAGCTGCTAAGCCCAGACTGGAAGGCAGTCAGGCAGAAGTAAGGCTGGCTTCTCATTCCTGGGCAAGCTTAATGCATCAGAAAAAAACCATGCCTTCTAGCTCTCACATTCTATGTGATTGATTCTATAAGAAAAAATATTCTAGTATAGACCTCCCTGGCATGACCTGAGGGATGCTTGGAAGACTAACCTGCCTTAAAATAATCTTCCTCACCGATTCCTGAAATCCTATCATGAGCCTCTCATCCCTGAGGTCAGTGTTGCTGAAGGACGACCATCCGGAGGGTGCTAGAGCTTCGGGGGTGGAAAGGCTCTCAGAAGGCACCGAGTCCAACCTGTGCCTAGCCTCGAAGCCCCTCAATGTTGTGCCAGACAAGTGGTCATCCACACCATTCCAACTCCATTCAATTCCCTGACAGTTATTATGTGCCGACTGTGTGCAAAGTTCTGCTAGGCTCTGGCATTCCAGCTTGGGAGAGTTCTCATTTGGGAAGCACCTGTGTATCCCAAGCTATAACCACATGGCTGCAACATCTCTCTCACAGGAGAGCCCTTTGAACACTGGAAGACAGTGACTATGTCCCTCCCAAGCCTCCTCTTCCCTGCGCTAACTGTCCCCAGGTTCACTGGACTGATCTTCACATTGTACGGCCTCCAGTCCCCTCCCCATCCTGGTCATCTTCCCCCGAACCCTTCTCAGATGTACAATGTCCTTCCTAAAATGTGATGCCAAGAACAAAATACAATCCTCTGGATGGGATTTGACCAAGGCAGGGGGCAGGGGGATCCCAAGCTTCCTTGTTCTGAATGCTAGGATTCTGTTAGTGCAGCTAAGCCGCTGAAGGCTTCTACTCACCAGGGAAGGCCAATCACACAAGCCTGCTCTGACCTCCTGCACTAGGAGGCAACTAGGCCAGAAGAGGAAGGGCTCTCCAATGCAAAGCTACCTTTGTTCGGTCAGGGAAGAAATGACCTGCCTGGACTCATGCATTCAATCGCAGAGGCACAGAACCCTCCCCTGCCCCAGAGGCTCCCTGACCAGCTGCTAGCAGTAGAGCATCAACAGAAAGGCAGATTCATGGCATGCCAGAGCTGGGAGGGCTCTTGGAACACAGGATGTCAGAGCTGGGAAGGCCCTTGGAACACAGGATGTCACAGCTGGGAGGGCCCTTGGAACACAGGATGTCAGAGCTGAGAGGGCTCTTGGAACACAGAATGTCAGAGCTGAGAGGGCTTTTGGAACACAGAATATCAGGGCTGGGAGGGCCCTTGGAATACAGAATGTCAGGTCTGGGAGTGGCCTTAGAACACAGGATGTCAGAGCTGGGAGGACCCTTAGAACACAGAATGTCAGACTGGGAGGACCCTTAGAACACAGGATGCCAGAGCTGGCCTTAGAACATAGAATATCAGAGCTGGGAGGCCCCTTAGAACACAGAATGTCAGGCGGGGTTGGCCCTTAGAACACAGAATATCAGAGCTGGGAGGCCCCTTAGAACACAGAATGTCAGGCGGGGTTGGCCCTTAGAACACAGAATATCAGAGCTGGGAGGCCCCTTAGAACACAGAATGTCAGGCGGGGTTGGCCCTTAGAACACAGAATGTCAGGCTGGGAAGGCCCTTAGAACACAGAATGTCAGACTGGGAGGACCCTTAGAACACAGGATGCCAGAGCTGGCCTTAGAACATAGAATATCAGAGCTGGGAGGGCTCTTAGAACATAGGATGCCAGAGCTGGGAGGGCCCTTAGAACACAGAATGTCAGGGCTGGAAGACCCCTAGGACAAAGAAAGGAGGGCCCTTAGATATCATCTAATGCAAGCCTCTTATTTTACAGATGAGGAAAGTGAGTCCCAGGGAGAAGAAATAAGTCTCCTAAGGTCACACGAAGGGATTTAGGGGCAGGACCAGGACCAGAAGGCAGGCCTAGGCTTTCCAGTCCAGAGCTTATTCTCCTCCTCGTGGGCAGTAGGACTGGTCTCCTAGGTGTGGGGTCACCGATCACGCAGGGCAGAGCAGCTGACTTTCCTCTGGGCTCTGGCCCCCAACAGTGAGACTCTCCTCCCTCGCCCCAGTCAGCTCCTCCCCAGCTGCTGCCGCCAGGCCCTTTCTCTCATTGTGACCCCCCCGCCCCCGCATTTCTGCTGCCCTAGAATCCCTTGAAACTCAAAGAGACTCTTACCTGCCACAAGCCAACTGTGAGCTCATAATCTAGAGGTTTCGGAGATTCCTGGAAGCTGAGACAACCATGCTCGTAAAAGGCCTACAAGGAAGAGAAAGAGTATATGAGAATTCGTCTGCCACAACACCATCCTTCAATGCTCTTTTTGGTTCTGAAAACTTCACATCTCCCCCTCCAATCCCACCAGATAAAAACAAAACAATGAGCGGCGACTCCGTGAGACCCTCGCCCCAGACATCACAGCCTTCCTTCTTAGTCGGGCTGCAATTCCCTGGCAGTCACCATCTCAATCAAATTTAGCCAAACTGGCTTCCTTCTTATGTGACATTCCACCTCCAAAGCTTTGCACGTCCCTGGTCCTGTCAAACAAATCTCACTGTTGTCTGGCAGGGCCTGAAACATCAGGGGTCTATGAGATGCCCCTCCCCCACCCCACCCTGAACTTGAACGAAGGAACCCAGAGAGCTACTCTGACCTCAAAGGGACAACGGGTTATGGCAGGATTTCAGGCATCAGTGGGGAAGATCATTTTAAGGCAGGTCGGTCTTCCAAGCATCCCTCAAGTCATACCAGGGAGGTCTATACTGGAATATTTTTTTCTTATAGAATCATATAGAATGTGAGAGCTAGGAGGGCCCTTAGAACACAGAGGGTCAGAGCTGGAAGATCCCTCAGAGAACGTCTAGCCCAGGGACAGATACTTTCTTCAGTAGTAGACCACATGAACAGAAATCCCTATGTATGTGGGCTGCATGAATTTAATTATGTAATTGCTTACATTCAGCTTTAATTACAGTCACTAACTGAGCCTAGCTTCCAGATTGATTATACATTACTACCCTTCACACACACTACCCTCCAGACAAGCCAGCCCACTTGTCATTCTCCATCTCCTGTCTCCATGTCTTTGCCCAAACCATTCCTACCCCTGGAATCCTCTTCCTTTTTGCCTCTGCCTCTTGGACTCCCTTCAGGACTCAGCTGGAGTTCCCCAAGTCGCATAAAGCCTTCCCTGATTCCCCGAACTGCCCCTCCTACCCTTCCTAGGGCCCTCTCCCCACTCTGATTTTACTAGGTTGCTCAGCTTTTGTGTCATTCTCTTCTTGCCCCCTCCATCCCCATCTGCAACTTGAGACTCAGCCATTAGGCTGTCCAGCCCCGAAAGGTGAGTTTTCAGCTTCTCTTGCTCAGAAATATGCCTCCACACTATTTCCTAGCCAGCCCCGCCCCATGCTGCTGTATTTTCCTTATTTGAATGGAAGCTCTCTGGGAGCAGAGACTATTTTGTTTACTTGTTTTTGTATCTATGGTGCTTAACACAACGTCTGACATGTAGTAAGCACATAATAAATGTTCTTTCTATCTCTAACCTTCCATCCATCCATCCATCCATCCATCCATCCATCCATCATCTTGTATCTACTTGTGTGTGCCCCCCTACCAGTAGAATATAGGTTTCTTGACAGCAAAAAATGGCTTAATTTTTAATTTTAATCTATGTATCCCTAATGCTTGGCATATAGTAGGTACTTAATAGAGTTTATTGAATGAATGACTGAATTCTAGCCTGACATATGGCTCTAGTGGGGTTTGCCACAAGGCCAGTACTAGGCCCCAGATTCCTGCCTCACAAGTGCTGGGCAGGAGGGTAGGCTCTCATGGCAGACTGATTTATGAACCACATGCTGGCTATTTGACTTTTTATGGACTTCAAGCATCCAGGATTACCTCAGGTGGGAGCTCCCTGTTGGCACTCAGCCCAGCCCCTCCCTGATGTCTTAGAAGACAATTTCATGAGTTGCCATGACCCCAAAAATTCCTCCCCCTGAGGCCAACCTGGAAATGAGCCTTCCTGAACTTTGCCAGGCTGGTCCTCAGATGACACACCATCTGGCTCTGGGCCTTTACGCCAAGCCTTTCTGGTTTGGTTGGGCCTAAGAGAGCCACAGGTAGAGTCTTCAGATCTCAAGGTCATTTCAATGTCACAGAGAGGAGCTGGGCAAGGACTTTAGTCTAGGTGTGTGTGAGCTCAAGTTAAAGACAAAAAAAAATTGTTTTGCCGAGAATCTCCAGTGGGTTGTACCTCAATGTCAGGCAGGCTACAATCATGGTGGATGCCTGGGATCTATCCCAACCCCTTCATTATAGAAAGGACAATATTGCGTGGGATCATCTGGAAGGAGCCCAACTACCCATTCACGGTCTTCTACCAAATCAAGGCAAGGGTGAAGTCTCTGGAGTTGGGAAGGCTCAGTGTGGGGTTCCACCCAATAACTATTTATTAAGTTCTTACTATGTGTCAAGTACTATGATGGGAAATGAGGATAGAGTTAAAAATGAGAGTCCCTGCCTTCAAGGAACTTACATTCCACTGGGAGGTCATGGCACAAACACAGATAAGTCAGTACAAAATACAGAAGAAATATGTTGCTTTGTTGTTTAGTCATTTTTCAGTCATGTCTGACTCTTGAGGGCCCCATTTGGCATTTTCTTGGCAAAGATACTGGAGTAGTTTGCCATTTCCATCTCCAGCTCATTTTAAAGATGAGGAAACTGAGGCAAACAGATGTACAAAATAATTTGGGAGTGAGGTAGAGATATACCAACAGGGAGGGTCAGGAAAGACCTTATGGAAGAGGGGGCACTTGAGCTGAGCCTTGACTTGAGCTAGGGTTTCCAAGAGAAGGCGATGAGGAGGGAGAGCATTCCAGGCATAGAAGTTGGAAAACAGATGCCCTTCATGGGGAAGAATGAGTGAGTCAGTCTGCTACACATCAAAGTCAGAGCCCATATGCTCCTGGGTCTTAGAGCTTTCTCCTTTTGTCCTTGTCATAGGATCACAGAATTGCCCAGTGGCAGAGATGCTCATGGCCATTTAGTCTGACCTGTACCTGAAAGGAATCTCCACTCTAACATACTGACAAGAGATTGGTGATCTAGCCTTCACTTAAAGACCTCCAAGGAAGGGGAACTCATCACCTCTAGAGGCTACCCATTTTCACAGCTAGAATTGTCGGGAAGGATTTTTTCATTTTGTTTAGTTTTTCTGACGTCATGCTTAAATTTGCCTCCTTGAAACTTCAACCTATTACTCTTGGTTCTGCCTTCTAGGGTTAATCAAGACAGATCTCTCTTCCACATGACAGCCACACTTCAAGGAAGTTCTCACGACCTTCTCTGAGTCTTCTCCAGGCTAAATGTGCCCACTTCCTTCAACTGACTGTCATACAGCATGGACTCAAGACCTTTACCCATCCTGGACACTATCCAGGTCATCAACGTCCTTTTCAAGGCAACACAATACTCCAGATGAGATCTGATAATGGCAAAGTACAGTGGCACTCTCCCTTCCCAAATCCTGGAAATTTGACCCCTCTTAATGTAGCCCAAGATTGTATTATCTCCTTTGGCTACTACATTATCCTACTGTTCATATGTAGCTTGTGGTCTACTAAAACTCCTAGTTTTTTTTTTCTTCAGAGCTGCCTCATCTTTGTACCCTTTCTATCTTATAATAGTGAAGTTGATTTTTTGTACCCAAGCTCAACTTTACATTTGTCCCTATTGAACTTCATCTTATTAGAGTGTCCAGTGTTCTAGCCTGTCAAGATCAATCTTTATCAATGATGTCATCCACAAAGGCTGGGTTAGGAGCCCTGATACCTATGTCACTTGGGGAGTCTCCACCACTACTCCACCCTGCCCCCCCAAATGTTGTGGTTGGGATGGGGTAAGTCGGGTAGAAGAAAAGACCTGAGAATATTCTGTCCTGAGATCATTCATAGGGCCTAACTTTGGAAGCTTCCTAGGCATCTGAACTGTCCTGAGCACACAGGACTATGGGAACAGCTACCTGAGCTCACATTTCTCCTGAGAGAGTTAGGGGTGACAGGAAATAGGAAAGTTACTGATGTATGCATGGTGGTAGATGCAGAGACCTGCCATAATCAGTGATGTATGGTGGAGGAGTAGAGTGTTAATTAGTGAGAATCAGAGGAAGGTTTGTTGAATTGAATTGTAATGAGTATGGGGGAATTAAAAAAAAAAGGGAAAATAGCCAGAGGTGGGAAAGAGGCTTCAAGGTAGGAAGGTACGGGTGACTTTGGGGTTTCTTCCTCTTGTACCATCCCTGTGATGGATGCTAGATGTCCATGAGTGCTGGGTCTGTCCCACATTGGGCCTGGTGTCCCTGATGTGCAGTAAGTACAAGGGGCAGAGGAGGCTAAAGCTGTAGTCCCAGATCCCGGCTACCATTGCCTGTTTGTATTTAATCTTCAGATCCCAATCCCTCAAGCAGAGAGGCATTGGAGGCACCGGGCATCTGTAACTCAGGCAACCTGATGCTCTCCTGTTTTCTCACATCCTGTGTGACTATTTCTATCCCTCCCTAAGTGCACAGCACCTGTCACTGTGTGCCTGCCTGTGGGTGTTTGTGGGGGTGTGTGGAAGTGCTCAGAAAGTCTGTCACATTTCAGATCATAGACCAAGAGAAGGATGCCAGTAGGCTGCGTGAAATTGTGCCCATTTTGGAGACCCAGAAACTGAGGTCCAGGGAGGCTTAATATCTTACCCAAGATCATGCAGCCATTAAGGGCACATCTGATACTCAAGCTCTCTGATTCTCTCATCCTTTTTTCATTCAATAATAGCATTGAATGGAAATTCTTCCAGTGAATTTAAAGCACTCTGCAGCACCTTTCTGCACTTACCAGGTGCCCGGCACATAGTAGGCACTTAATAAATGTTGACTGATTGAATTATTGCAAAGCGTTTGGAAGGATGAGCAAGACGGAGGCAGCTCCCTCAGGCTTACTAAGCACTTTTCTTACAGCAACCCTGTAGAGTGAGGCAGAGAATGCACCTGTTGTCACTCCCATTTTACAAACAAGAAAACTGAGGTTCACAGAATGAAGTGATTTAGGATCATTGATATAGAGATGGAAGTACTTGTAGAACTCATCTAGTCCAATCCTTCGTTTTACAGATGAGGAAACTTGAGGCCCAGGGAGGTTGGAACACGCCCAAGGCTTCACCCAACCAGTAAGCGGCAGAGCCAGGATTCAAACCCAAGCCTGCTGACT